AATTTGTTTCATTTCTTCATAGTGGCTCTCAAGGTGGTAAAACTCAATTTTACCAAGGTCTTGAAATTTTTTCTAAAAATTCATAAAAAATCCTAAATAAATTCTTAAAAATCCTATAATATTTCTATAATACTAATATCTATAAAAAATATATTTTTCTATTTTTTTTATTTTTTATAGTAATAAAATCAATTTAAATCTACTAAAAATCCTATTTTCTCCAAACATAATTTAAAAGACATGAAGTTCTTTTTTATGCTTCTTTTAACTATTAACTAATCATTAATAGGATATTTGTAATTAATACATATAGATATAAGGCCAATATAGAAATTGGTCTCAATTACTAATCATTAATATTGAATAATGAGTGAAAATATTAAACCAATTAAGATAATTGCCTCTAAGACTTACTAAGACTCTATTTTTGTAACTTTTCTTCTAATAAGACTTTTATACTTATAAATACTTCTAAATTCTAATAACTATATAAATAGTCAAAAAGACTCTCTAACCTTAGTATTTATGTCATAATTGACTTAATATCATTTTTTTAACTAATATATCAATTAAAATCCATTGATGGGACTCACATCATGTATTACAAAAACTAAAAGATGTAGGATTATATGTGAAGATGGAAAAGTGTGTATTCCACACTACTCAAGTTGACTTTTTGGATTACATCATTTCCAATAAAGGCCTTATGGTGGATCCAAAAAAGATCCAAACTATCATAGATTAGAAGATTTTAAGAATAGTAAGAGATGTGCAATGCTTTTTGAGCTTTGTTAATTATTACTGAATCTTTATCAAGAAATTTTTTCAAGTTATAAATCTACTTATATGTTTGACTTGTAAAAGCAAACTTAAGTGGAATAAAGAAGCCAAAACATCGTTTGTTATTTTAAAGAAGGAATTTACTTTTATACCAATTTTGTATCATGTCAACTTTTCTAAAGCATTCTTTGTGGAAACAGATGCATCAAACTTTGCCATAGGTGCAATATTGTCACAAATAGGAATACATGATAAACTCCATCTAATAGCTTTTCATTCCAAGAAATTTTCATCAACCAAGATTAACTATGAAATCTACAACAAAGAACTTCTTGTAATTGTGGATTCATTTCAAGAATGGCATCATTATCTAATAGGCACTTCAAGTCCAATCACAATATATACATATCACAAGAACCTTGAGTATTTCATATCAACACATCTTGTAAATTATTACTAAGCTCGTTGAAACATGTCATTATCAAGATTTGGTTTTAAAATCACATATCAACCTAGAAAAAAATAAGTTTTATTAGATGTTCTTTCTAGATGCTCTTATTTTATACCAAAAGAAAGATATGTATATTTTGATCAACAAACAACAATCTTCTTGAAGCCAGAGCATTTTCATCTTTGAACATTGAAATCAATATTGACTGTTGATTTGACCTTTGTCAAATAAATTCAATCAAGTATGTCCTTTGATCTTCTTATTCATGATATCAAGAGTCTTTATTCTAAGTCTCATGATGTTTAAAAGTTTGAATTCAAGAACAACCTATTCTACTTCAAAAGATGCTTATATGTTCCAGAAGAAGAAGCATGTTTACTTATTTTTCAAGCATGTTATGACTTCTCAGTAGCAGGACATTTTCAATACAACAAGACTTTAGAACATATATTCAAAGATTTTTAGTGGCTGCAAATGTGGAAGGTCGTAGAAGACTTTGTCCAATCATGTGATATTTATTCAAGATCAAAAACTCTTCATCATTGATCATATAGACTTCTCCAACCATTTCCTATATTTGAACAACCAAGGTCTTTCATTTCTATGGATTTTATTACACATCTTTCAGTTCAAATTCATATGATTCTATATTTATAATCATAGATTAGTTCACCTAAATAGCACATTTTGTATTATGTACAAAATCTATTTCAATTGAAGAAACAACTAAGCTTTTCATTGACAATATCTATCGCTATCATAGATTGCCAAAGGATATTATATCAGATAGAGGGACTCAATTTGTATCAAGATTCTGGAAAATCCTATTCAAAATTCTAAAGGTGGATGTAAAGCTCTCTTCAACTTTTCATCCTTAACTTAATAGGCAAATGGAACGGGTGAATCAAGTTTTGGAGCAATATTTAAAGTGTACCATCAATTATCATCAAGATGATTGGACAACTCTTTTGCCATTCGCATAGTTTGCATATAATAATTTGATATATTCTTCTATCCAAAAAATATCTTTTTCTACCAATTATGCTTATCAACCATGACTTGATACTTTCGACTTTTCAAAAATTAATAATCCTACAATAGAAGATTTAACAAATCATTTGTTAGAGCTATATACAACAATGAAGACATAATTAAAGGAAGCTCAAGAATGACAAAAGTTCAACATAGATGCCTATTACAAGGAGCAATCACAATTCAATGTAGGTGAGAACGTATGGTTACTTTGTTACAATATCAAGACTACTTGTCTTTGTGATAAGTTGGATTATTGTAGATTGAGACCGTTTTCTATTTATAAATAAATCAATCATGTTGCTTATCGATTATATCTATTGGAGTCAATGAAGATCCACCCTTTATTTCACATGTCTCTTCTTGAGCCGTGTAAGACAATGAATATCCTGCGAAGAAAACAAATGCCACCTCCTCTTATAGAAGTAGATAATAATCAAGAGTTCAAGGTGGAAGAAGTCTTAGACTCAAGGCGGCATCAAAATAGGCTGAAATATCTTGTTCATTGGCGTGGATATGATATTAGTGAATACACATGGGAGCCATCAAAGAATCTTACAAATATAGTAAAGAGAGTTGAAGCCTTTTATTGATGATATCCATCAAAACCAAGATGAAGAATAGCAAATCTTTGATATAAAAGAAACAAGATCAAAAGAATATAACACTCTACCTTCTATCTTTCTTTGTAGCTTCTATGTATTTGTGACACTAAAGAGATGGAGAACCAACAACCAGCAAATTCAACTCAAGAGCTTTCATTTGGAGACTTACTAGATAAGACATTAGGATTGTGACAACCTTCAAGATGACAAAATTGAGATGAAGATCCTCAAGAACAACATGTCCTTCTTCAAATAGATGGCAAGATACAACGCATTTGGTATCACGCTTTTAGAAGCGATTCTTGATGTTTGGTGATTTTATTAGAGGTAGGAACAATTTCTAACAGTGTTTCAAATGTTTTATTTGAAAGAAGTTACAAAAGCCTCAACAACAACCAAATAATAAGGTAGTCTTCTTGTCCTAGTATGGGACACTATCGATGGTTGAGAGGGCCTATCAACCATCTTTGAAGAGAACAAAGATTTAAATACACGGCAAATACAATTTGCCGCATTTTTTTATTTTTTCAGCATATGAAGATCGTTCTTCATGGAACTCGTCCCTAGAAAGGGGGGTAATACCACTGACATATATAGGTATTCTAGTAAATACTTATATAATTACATAGAAATATGTAAAAATAGATTAAAAAAATTTAATTTTATAAGACCTATTAGAGAAGCTTCCTAGAAGCTTCATAGACATTGCTTGACTTAACATGTACTTGTAATTAATTAATAGATTAGAAACTTTGTCAACAAGTTAATCACATATTAATAGCTTGTAAAACAAACTAACTATATGGCACACATATAGAGAACTTGTCTTGCAAATTAAGATATGTGTCTTGCAAAGTCAACATGTTTTAGAGGTCCTATAGGACATCGCCACGTAGCTCTTAGTTAAGAGTATATATGGAGGCAAGATTGGAGCCTTCTTCACTCTTGTGAATGTCTTTCTAGTCCTTAGTCTTGTTTCAAGACTTTTTAGTCTTCTTTTTTTTGGAAATAGCTATTCTAGTTTAATATTACATCATCTTTTGAGTGACTTTCTAATTTTCTTCACTGACACAAGAGTGTATTGACGATTTTCTTTCTTTGAGATTCATGTCCTTAACACAATACAAGGAGATAGCAACTTACTAATTGGCCTCTTGCACCCGCTTAAGATGTTCTATGCACTTCAATTTTGTAGCACCTTTGGTATGCTAGATGTCATTTGGTTTTTTCTCAAGAATCTTTCAATGCTTATTGCACATGCCACCTTGCTTAGAAAGGAACCATTTTTGCAGAAATGGCAATTAAAAACCACATTACGAGTCACATAGCTAGATGTGGAGAAAACGAAAAGGCAGAAATAATTCTTGCCTTCCAAAACACATGGTGTTTCCAATCAGTTTTTTGTTATAGAAGATTATTCTCTCTTCGATGGCATTTAGCCCCCACCATCATTCATCTGCCAACCCTTCTGTGAGACCCAGACTGAGTTGTGTTTTTTTGCAACACACCGTTCTTAGCAAAAAAAATATATATATATATATATGTAAAGTATTGAGCTACAGATTTCACCTTATAGTATGGAATATCCTGCATATTTTTTTGAAGCTGTGCAACTTAATTGGTGCATGCAGTTTAGAGACTGATTGCAGAAATCAGTACCTCTAACAACGAAAAATAAGTCTTCACCCCAAGTAACAGATAACTTTGTATTTAGGATTGACACTTAGAATTGAGCTTTCACATTAAAGAGATGTCAATCCACGAATGATTCATTATGTCTGTATAAATAGGAGTTTTATTATAACAATAATTATCCGACTTTTCAAGTGTACGGATATCCGAAGTGAGCAAGCATACAACACGTTGTGACCATTTTGTGGTATAATTTACCTCCTCTAATTAACGTAACCACAATGCCCCGATAAACAATTTCTAGCATAAAAACAGGCGAATCCATTCAGGCACAGCATGGATAATACGGCTACACAAGACCGTTGATCCTGAGAAACTTTGCAGAGAGATTCTACCTTAAAAAGTTACATGCTAGTATCCATGAAACTGATACCAAAGGCCAACCACTATCATCTAACAGGAACAAAATAGGCGGAGAGACCAAAGCTCAGAGACAACACTTCAGTAGTAATCAACAAATAGGTTCACAATAATAAAAGAACACCATAGTTTGCGGTACATATTATTCATCCCCACATCTACTACCCATCCAGCTGCAATACACACCAAAGGATACCTACGACGACAAGTCGCGACCATAAGCTCTAAATGGTTCTATTCCACGATTGACTGCAACATGCACAGATCTGCCATTACTTCCCGCATCAAGTATAATACGCCACATTATATCTACGGTGGTGCCCTTCCAGACATATATGTCATGAATACAATCGACAGCGCCACCGCATCGTGGCGGTCCACAGGTTTAAAAACCGTGAATCTTGATGAGGTCTTTCTTTACAATCCCCGCCTTAAGTCAAACAACCACAACCACCATTAGCCCTCATAGCTACAGTAAAGAGAATTTCTAATATAAAATCCCGCATGCAGAATTCCTAAAAGAAAATTTGAAGGGATATTTACATAGTCCTAGACAAACCCTGAAACTCAACTCGGTTTACACACGGAAGTTATTCAGTCAACCAACATGGACAAGCTTAAAATTTGCGATTGCCAATCAAGCCACATCTCGAAAACAAAAAGCATTTAGAACGACTGAAGTTTCCTCTGAACAACCAACAGGAAATATATCTAACAGCATGGAACATTGAGCCGCGCTACGTACACATACCTGAACGAGAAAGTTGGAGACATTCTTCCGCTGGTCACCCTGAAGCTGGATAACCTGACCCAGTTCTGGATCCTGAACCACGACTCCGTTGCAGCAGAACTCCTTCTTCAAATCCTTGAGAATCTTGTTGTAGTTGAACTCTTTCTTCAGCCCCTGAACGGTTGTTAAGCTCTTTCGTCCATTCCGCTGCTGCACCCTAACATGCACATAGCCACTTCCTTTCGAACCTACCCCGCTGTCCTCAACATTCGCTTCCGCGAATGGGTCTGAACACCAATTCAAAATCCAAGACTCAGTCATAACGACCATACGGCATACCCAAAAAATAATATCATAAGGACCGGAAAAGACGGTAATTGACACAATAAACTGACAGAAGTTTACGCAAGTCCAAGATTGGGTGAAAAACGTAAGCACAAGTCGCCGGGAATAAAAAACTTGACTATGTAACGAATATCCGAAGTAGACAAGCATTACCAAGCATGGTGTAAAAAACATGCACAAAGGAACATAAACCCAGTCATGTCCTTCCATACGGATGAAAGCACAATATCTAATGTGACTTGTTCAAGCAAAACCATACGGGCAAACCCCAAAAGGAACAAACACTCGAAACGCAAGCCCCGGATATAACACAGAAGAGAATCACATCGCGGTCACACCGTAAATGGCAAGAAACACAGGAGACAAAGAAAAAAAATAGCGTCGCAGTCACAACCACATCCCAGAACACAAAGCGCAGGGTAAGTAAGAAGCGCACCAAAAGAGGCCGGAATCTCCGTGTCCGACAACTCCAACATGAACCCCGACGTGCCGGACTGCTTCTGCCCCGGATCTGTAATTTTGGCGAGCGGAGCAACACCCTAAAGGCGGAAACCTGATCTCAACCCTGGCTCCGAAACGCACGATTTTCTCACGAACCCACAAAAGAAATGCAAGCAAACAACAAAGAACTGGCACTGCGAGGGAGATGAAGTGCACGAGAAGACGGTAGCGATGCGCGAGGAGGACGAAAGCAAGCGGGCGGGACGAGGAACAATGAGCAACGTTGGATGCTCTGGACCCCGCTTGAAGGAGAAGGAGAAGAGCTTACGGCGCAGTTTCTTCGTGTTCGCCGGTTTTGGCCGGGGCTGGGCCGGGCGCGGATCGCGTAAGAGCTGGTGACGTGGCCCCCGCGAGTCGTGGTCCATTCGGGCCGTTGCATGCACCGTCACGGTTGCGTCATCATGGATTCTTTCCACGTGGGTTCGTTTATTTTTAATTTTAAATAATTAATTATGAATGAGAGGGTAAATTTTCTAGTAGATTTCATTTAAAAAACGGCTTCTACAATATGTGTTAAAGTCTATGTTTTGAGGTTGTAAAAGCGAGGGTGTATTGTATTTTAGAGAAGAGAAGAAGAGAGAAGTCTAGAGGTTACAACTTTTATATGTTTTGATTAGTTGAAATTGAGAAGTCTCTAAGTTGTATCCAATCAAAGGATTCCAAAAGTTGTGGCTTCTCAACTTCTCTTCTAATTATAAAGACTTCCATGAAGATTTGAGATGTATGAGGTAAAGAGTGATTTTGTTTTATAAAGTGTTTTCATTTTTTTACTTTCTTTTTCTTTTTCTTTATGATACATCTATGCCATATCTTTGTTCTTACAGCTGACATTTTTTGGCTCCTTTCATAATTCTATTTAATATACTATTACTATTTCTAAGGTAGCTCTAAATAGTTTTTATGATTTTACTTTCTGTTACATTGTTTTTGAGTTGTCTCAACTTAAGCTTTTGTTTTCAAAAATTAAGAAATAAAATAAAATAAAATAACACACACAAACAAGTATACATGTATTATATAATTTTTTATTTATTATTTAAATAAGTTTTATTTCAAATATAGAATATATAAATCCATGATTGATCAAGGTCTTTACAAAATCCATTGTGTGCTTCAATGGCATAATTGGTTCATTTGCTATTTTTACATACTCTTTCAGTGGCCATGTATTTCCAAATTCTTTGCAATTTTATTTATTTATTTATTTATTTTTAATGTACATACATTACAAAGATTGTAATTCTAAACTTTTTTTATCACTTTTTTTTTAACATTTAGTTATATACCATAAATTTTATTATTGACATATTATGAAATCTTCTAAATTATTTACAAGTCTATATATATATATATATACATACATACATATATATAGAGAGAGAGAGAGAAGATTATTATATTAGAATAAAAGCATTTGAATCATATTTATTTTGTACTATCTATTAATATTTAGAAGCTAGAAAATAAATACCTTTTATTATTGATATTAGCATATTTATTATATAAATCATTAATTAAAATTTTACCATTATCTAAAGAAAATTAATTTTTATTTTATTTTTATCAAACTTCTTGATATAAGTGTCTTTGATGCACCTAGTTCTAATTGGATGTCATGTTATTCTTTGATTTTAATAATTTTCTAATTTTCAACTTGACTTGCATTCTTAGATGTGCTTGGAGATAAAACAATAAGTTGTTAGAAAATCGTATTTGAGGTCTTTTGTAATGTTTTACATTGTTTTGAATCTTATTGTAAAGGTAGAGATAATTTTGTTATGGTATATATATAATATTTTTTCTGTTTTTTTTTATCGAATTGCCACTATAGTGTAAATATATATCTATATATATATATATATATATATATATATAGATATATATTAAATTTAGTTGATATTTTGAGGGTCTAAATACTAAAATATATTTTAAATCTTAGAAATAGAATCCTTGAAATTTATTTATTAAATTAATAAAAATAATTGACAAAATATTATTTTTGGTCCATATTCAGATTGGCGTAGTTAATTTATATTATAATCAGGCTGTTTTTGAAATTAGCTCCTTTTTTTGCAAAAAATATCATAAGATCTTTTGATTTTTCTAAGTTTGATACTAAAATATTTTATTTTATTTTATTTTGAAAATAATTCAAGTAGTTATTTTACTTATCAACAACAATATTGTAAACTAAATTATTATTATTTTTACTTTGTCAATTTAGTTATTTTTAGTCTTTTTTATGTTAATCTAACTAAATGAATGTTCTTAAATTATATTTTAATAATATTAATTTTAAAGAATGCATTAGAAATTTTTAATTAATATATTTTAAAATAATCATTAGAAAAAAATGTATGTAAATTAGTGGTCTAATTCGTCACTAGTAAAACTTAATTTTTTATTGAGAATAAAAAAGAATGCCAAGAATTTATTTTTAAAGATCTTTTCAAAATATGATAGGACTTATATCTTTCTCTCTACTAGTAAAAAAACGTGTCTATATTAACCTCTATTGCTAGGTAAAATGCATATGTATTTTCATCTCAAAAAAATAATATATATTTTTATATTTATTGAAATTAGAATTCATTGAGTTATTAGAGATCTTTCCTTGAATCTTCTAGGTGACAATAAAATTTTTTGTCTAACATTCTTATAATGGTTTGTTAGACTTTATTGCAATAAAAATTTAATGTTTTTTTATTATACTATTCATAATCTTAGGTTATTATATATTTTTTTAATTCAAATTTTATGCATCTTATTTTAAGCAATAAAATTTGGCATCAAAGTATAAACAATAATTTGTTTTTTATGTGAGATTTTATTAAAATCAATTTATTTTTTAAAAAAGATAATAAATATTTATATTATTTCTTCTATTAAATATTTTTATAGGTTTTTTTTGTTGTTATATCTAGAATAATTATTTATTATAAAATATTATTTTTTAATACTATTGAGAATTTTATAATCAATTTTTAAATATACAAATGTTTAGTTATGTGCTTGCTTTTTAAGTCTATATTAAATATTATTTTTTTATTTGGTTTATTTGAAGTTAGAATTCTTCTTTTTTCATCGTCAATGAAATTTTAATTGATATTTTTTTAATTTTTTATATCTAAAATTTTATTATTAATATTTATAATTATTATATTATTATTTCTTATTTCTATTACAAACTCATACAAAATAAAATATTTATCAAAATTATATAAAATACTTCCAACATCCAAATCCTTTGTTATTAACATTAATTTAGATCTAGTTTGAATACCATTGACATAATTAAATCCTTCTCTTTTTATTCACAAATTGAAATATTTATAAATCATGTTCTTTTAATCATAGTTAATTTATATTTATTATTATTACTATCATTACTATATCTATAAAGAAAATTGGTCTATTTTTGGATTTAGAATTATTTATTGAAAACTTTTCCACTACCTTTATTAAATATTAGTTGATTGCTTTTAGTAATGCCTATACCTAAGATGTTGATGAATTAGGTGTATCTTCTTGCATTATCACATGTTAATAGTTTTTCACATTGGCTTTTTACTTTGGTAGGATGATCTGCAAGAGTGTCATACTATCTCCTAATTTCAAGAAAATAATACTTATTTATATTATCAAGAACTTGGGAAAAAATCAATGAAAAATGTGATCTCAAGCTTTTTAATTTTACACTTCAAAATTCTTTCACTCACCTCAATTATAATTTTGAATCTTAAGAAGTACAAACAACAAATATGTGGAGATACATAAATTTAAATAAATAAATAAAATCAATTGTTTCTTTAAGTGGATCAATGTTCCTAATATGCTTCTATTTTCTTTTCCAAATGTGCAAAACCTATTGTGGAATAGTTGCAACTTGTTGAGCCATTTGCTACACAATTGCTTTTCATAAAACCATGCTCCCTAATTTACACTTTCTTCAAGCTTGAAAACTTGGCCAACTAACAGTTACAAACTACCCACCCCCAAAATCTTAAACAACATCTTATTCTAAACTTTACTTTGGATACAAACTACACAGACCCCTTAGTTCCTACGAAGAGCAGCAACAAACAAACACAGTGATTTGCAAAACTAGTATCAGAGAAAGAGGTTAGGACACAAATTAGCGAAGTTGATACAATTGTCAGAGAGATTTCAGTCCATGGTGAGAAAAACCCAGCTGAGCAAAGGGGACCACCATCCTCTCAACCAACCCGAGTTTTCCTATACAAATTGACTTGTTTTGCATGGATTCACTTTCGAGGGCAGCTCCTCTAGCAGCACCGTCTATCAAGTTCCTTGCCCCCCCACATTTGGCTGATCCCATGTGCAAAGCATGCACAATTGTGCAATTCTGTCAGAGCCCGTGTAATTAGAGCAACAGATCTTCTGACAGGGCTGGGTTTCCTTAATCCTTCTAGCTCCTCCCTCCGAACAGTGAACCTCTACAGCAGGTCCCAGAAATTTTTGTTTGTGATTATCATACAACCAGAAAACAAAACAAAAAAAACAAAAAAAAATCACAAGTTGAATCATCTCTGATTGGAGCATGACTTCCACGCCGTTGAGAAGGCCAACTTTTTCTTCGTCCCACAGCAGCGAAAGTGATGGAAATGTTGTCAAACCTGAAGTTGTCCCTACCGAACACCGCCACCTTATTCATGTGGAACTCTATCTCTCTCTCGCTCTTGCAAGTCCTGAATAATCCTGTTGCTGAAAAAAATATGTGTTTTACGTGTACCCAGCATGTCATCAGTGGTACAGGGATGGTTTGAAGGCCGACTTCAATCGTGAGCGTCGATTTGACGCAGAGTCAATACCGTGTTGCATGCCGAATGCCGAATGTGTGCGGCAACCGAGACTGTTGAACGAGATTTCAATCGGAAGTATACACTCTCGGAGATGGATCATGGTGATTTCTTTCCAAGCAAGTAAAAACCCCTTGTGAACTTCTCTCTAGATTGTGGCATTTTGTCGTAACCATGCCATGCCATCTTGTGCGTTTAGATATTGCGAATCCGTTTCAAGCTCATCCTGATGTTGTCTCCTAGAGTGGGTCAGTTGCCTGTTTCTGGATTCCATACTTTCCTTGACAATCTGGACAAATGAAGCTTTTGCTCAGATATGTGCTGACTGCCGAGCATTAATTTTTATTTTTATTTTAAAAAAAGACATATCTGAGGCTGGCTTCACGATTCGCTGAGGATTCGTGGATTCTGCTTTCTTTTCAAGTGGCACAA